GGTCTACAGCCTCAGTCCTGGGTCTACAGTCTCAGTCCTGGGTCTACAGCCTCAGTCCTGGGTCTACAGCCTCAGTCCTGGGTCTACAGCCTCAGTCCTGGGTCTACAGTCTCAGTCCTGGGTCTACAGTCTCAGTCCTGGGTCTACAGTCTCAGTCCTGGGTCTACAGCCTCAGTCCTGGGTCTACAGCCTCAGTCTTGGATCTACAGCCTCAGTCCTGGGTCTACAGCCTCAGTCTTGGATCTACAGCCTCAGTCCTGGGTCTACAGCCTCAGTCTTGGATCTACAGCCTCAGTCCTGGGTCTACAGCCTCAGTCCTGGATCTAGACAGCCTCAGTCCGGGGTCTACAGTCTCAGTCCTGGGTCTACAGTCTCAGTCTTGGATCCACAGCCTCAGTCCTGGGTCTACAGTCTCAGTCCTGGGTCTACAGTCTCAGTCCTGGGTCTACAGCCTCAGTCCTGGGTCTACAGCCTCAGTCCTGGGTCTACAGCCTCAGTCTTGGATCTACAGCCTCAGTCCTGGGTCTACAGCCTCAGTCTTGGATCTACAGCCTCAGTCCTGGGTCTACAGCCTCAGTCTTGGATCTACAGCCTCAGTCCTGGGTCTACAGCCTCAGTCCTGGGTCTACAGCCTCAGTCCTGGGTCTACAGCCTCAGTCTTGGATCTACAGCCTCAGTCTTGGGTCTACAGCCTCAGTCTTGGATCTACAGCCTCAGTCCTGGGTCTACAGCCTCAGTCTTGGGTCTACAGCCTCAGTCTTGGATCTACAGCCTCAGTCCTGGGTCTACAGCCTCAGTCTTGGGTCTACAGCCTCAGTCTTGGATCTACAGCCTCAGTCCTGGGTCTACAGCCTCAGTCCTCGAGACAGAGAGAGACTGACTCAGGAGAGGTGACTCATGTGTTTGTTTTGAGTCTCAGTCATGTGGACGAGCTGGATCCTGGTCCTAGTCCGGGATCTGGTCCTGGTCTTGAGTCTGAGTGGAACTATGTGAAAGAAGCACAGACACAGGACAGAAGACAGAGTTGAACCCCTCACTCACATAAAAAAAAAAAAATAATAATAATAATGTTTTTCGGTCTATAACGTCTGTGTCTGGTTTAATGATCATTTTTGTCTTTTTCAAATGTGTGAGAAATGAGAGTTTCTCAGTGTGAGTGACTGATCCACGTTTGTTCAGACTCTTCAGATCAATCAAAGGAGACAAAGCTTTTTATAGAAATATTTTTCTTTTGATCAAATATCTTTTGTGTTAGACGGATAGATGGTCCCCTTCTCAGGACCTGTTGATGGTCCTCCTCTCAGGACCTGTTGATGGTCCTCCTCTCAGGACCTGTTGATGGTCCTCCTCTCAGGACCTGTTGATGGTCCCCCTCTCAGGACCTGTTGATGGTCCTCCTCTCAGGATCTGTTGATGGTCCTCCTCTCAGGACCTGTTGATGGTCCTCCTCTCAGGACCTGTTGATGGTCTCGTTGTGTGATGCTGTCTGTGAAAGGAGCTACATAAATAAACTGTACTGACTCAGTGACTGCATAAGACCATGTGCATAAAACAATGTGTATTAGACCATGTGTATAAGACCATGTGTATAAAACTATGTGCATTGTATAAAACTATGTGCATTAGACCATGTGTATAAAACTATGTGTATTAGACCATGTGTATAAAACTATGTGTATTAGACCATGTGTATAAAACTATGTGCATTAGACCATGTGTATAAAACTATGTGTATTAGACCATGTGTATAAAACTATGTGTATTAGACCATGTGTATAAAACTATGTGCATTAGACCATGTGTATAAAACTATGTGTATTAGACCATGTGTATAAAACTATGTGTATTAGACCATGTGTATAAAACTATGTGCATTAGACCATGTGTATAAAACTATGTGTATTAGACCATGTGTATAAAACTATGTGCATTAGACCATGTGTATAAAACTATGTGTATTAGACCATGTGTATAAAACTATGTGTATTAGACCATGTGTATAAAACTATGTGCATTAGACCATGTGTATAAAACTATGTGCATTAGACCATGTGTATAAGACCATGTGTATAAAACTATGTGCATTGTATAAAACTATGTGCATTAGACCATGTGTATAAGACCAGAGTCATCACTGAGATGTTTTGCTTCATGGTTCAGATTTAGATTCTGAACCATGTGTCGGAACAAATCCTCTCAGTTCTTCAGATAAAGTTCAGCAGTGACTCGGATAAAACAGAATCTACAGATTCCACTAAAGGTTTGAAATTCATCACTAAAAATACTTTTTTAGGTAAAACTCAGAAAAGAACATTTCCAGTGGCCCCTGAAATAATTTGAATTATATGAAGTTGCAGCATGGATGTAATAGGCTACAATGGCATGTTATCCTTCATTTTAAATCTAATTACTTAATATTTTTAAATATATTAAAATTTGTTTTCACCTACAGTACAGAGCAAAAGTGTGGACACCCTCCTCCTTCACTGAGTTCTTTTCATGACTATTGCTGTAGACCCGCACCAGGCTGTGTAAGGGCTGTTTGACCAATAAGGAGAGAGACCGGACCTGAACCCAGTCCAGATGGTTTTGGACCTGAACCCAGTCCAGATGGTTTTGGACCTGAACCCAGTCCAGATGGTTTTGGACCTGAACCCAGTCCAGATGGTTTTGGGGCTGGACCACAGAGTGAAGGGGCCAACAAGTGCTAAGCATCATGGGAACTCCTTCCAGACTGTTGAAGACCATTTCAGGTCCTGTTGAAGCTCATCCAGAGAATGCCAAGAGTGAAGCAGTATCAGAGCAAAAGGAGCTACTTTGAAGAACCAGAATATAACACATATTTACACTTGGTTCATACTTTTTAGTACGAACATAATTCACATGAGTTACTTCATAGGTTTGAGGCCCTCAGTGTCAATCTACAATTTTCATAATCACGAAAATAATGGCTCCTCTGGACCAACCATTGAGGAGGTGGACTAAGCACTCAAATGCCACTAAGAAATATACCCTCGAGGTCAACCTTTGAGAGCGTTTGAAGGAGGTGTCGTCTCCAAACTCTGGCTCTGTACATCTCTTCCAACTATTCCACTGAACTAGTTTGGTTCCGAAAAATTTATCAGAAAAGAATAATTTTTCAATAAACCTTCAAAATGACAAAATATTCATAATGAAATAATATTGTATTACCACTTCCTCCAAACAGCCTTTACATTTTCCATCCATTTTCTTCCCCTTAATCCATTTCTGGGTCGGGGGGGTGGGTGGCAGTCACAGAGCACCAGCCCCTCACTGATCCTCCTGCAGGTGCTGAGTCCACAGGAGCCTTTACATTTTCATTTATTTTTATTTTACAGCCAAAGCTATTCATTTATGACCCAAAGGTGAGGGAGGAAACAGAGCAGTAACCTGAGAGCTCTGACTGCAGCCGCTGCTCCACACGCTCAGGCATCACACTTTTCTAACACTTCATAAAAATCAGCCAGAAGCAACTTTGAAAAGAAAATATAGGTTTATTGAGGTTTCTGAACGCTGCCCACTCGTCTGGCAACACGAGACAAGTTACTGTAACATAAATACATTTAGAAAGAAAAAAAAGCACGAGTTTGTAATAATAACAACACAACAGACGTGTGCGTCCGGAGCGTGCGTCCGGAGTGCGCAGCTTCAGGGCGTCTCACTTCTACCAGACTCCGCTCGCATCTGGCCTCGGACAAACCTCGGTCCCGATCGAAGCTGCTTTAGTCGTGACAGTTTGAGACCAAAAAAATCAGTTTACGCCATTTACAAAATACAAAAACGTTCACGTGAAACGGGAGGTTGCCAGATCTGAGCAGAAATCTCCTCCTTCAAAACAACTCGAAGCCAAAGTCGTAAAACACGTGTTTGGGAATCACTGAAACGTTTAAGACGGAGCTAGCATGCTAATCTCCAACTAATCCTCTTAATAATACTTTTTTTATTAGTTATGTGTAATATCCAACAGTTTGTGACTTTTTCATGGATTTCAGTCAAAAGCATCGGTTTGAACCTTTTTCCCCCGACTTAAAAAGATAAATTTAGGTTTTAAATTGCTAATATCTTTTGCAATAGCCTCAAATTCTCATTATTCTGAAAACTAACACTTTTCTTCTACTTTAAGTAAGAATATACGGGTCTAAATAAACAAACTGGAGAATATATATTTTATCCGACAACATTCAAACCAAAATGTGTCAATATTCATCAAACGTTTCCAGTGATTTGTAAATAACGTGTAAACAAACCCAAAGCTCTGAGTTAAAACAAAAGGGAGTTTTTCAGTTTCTTTCTTACGTCGTCACTTATTTTTTATTTTTGACACATTTCACTGCAGCTTCTATCAAATAGTAATAATGACATTTATTGACTCAAAATTCCTGTTTCTGTGAGTTTTAAGGCAAATTCCACAGATGTTTTTGACAACACTGAACAGGTCTGAGTCATAAGGACCTCTTTGTTTATCCCGCTCAAAAAAGGCAATTTTAACTATTTTAGCACAAACCCAGACTATTGTAGAGATTGGTTTAGTTTGTGATCAGTAAAATGCACTTAAAACATCAGAAAGCACTTTTTTAAATTAAAGTCAGCGTTGCTTTTCCGCCTCTACGCCTCATCAGGGTTTTGAAAGATTCTCAAAATGATGTAGATTCAGCTTTAACTCCTTCAAACAAACGGATTAGAATTCATTTAACTTGTTCAAAAGAGCCACATCACTAAAAACCTAGTTGTGTTCAGGGCGCTGTGTGATGTCATCATTGTGAGACGCGGACTTAACACGTGTTGCCATAGTTACAAATTGCCTCTTTTGGAGCTTCCGCGGCCTCTAACCCACCGTGCAGATAATAACTCATCTTTCCGTGTTTGCCTCGGCTCCAGCGCCTGTGAGTGATGCCGTCTCGTTCTCTCGTTTGTCCTAGTCCAAAAATAAAAAGAATACAGTCCGTGTGAAGGGTCTGGAGCGCCCTCTGGTGGCGGGATTAGCGGATGGCCTTGACGGGACTTTTGAAGCTGGAGGCGGCCTGGAGCTGCAGCTGGTAGGCCATGGGGTGGATCTTGAAGCCGTAGAGTCTGAAGAGAAGACGGAGAAAGGATAAATGTAAGGGAGAGGGAGAGTGGGAGGGAGGGAGGGAGAGACAGAGAGAGAGAGACAGAGACACAGAGACACAGAAAGACAGAGACAGAGAGAGAGAGAGAGACAGAGAGACAGAGACACAGAAAGACAGAGAGACAGAGAGAGAGAGAGACACGAAGAGAGACAGAGAGAGACAGAGAGAGAGAGACACATACACATACAGAGAGAGAGAGAGAGACAGACACAAAGAGACAGAGAGAGACAGAGAGAGAGAGAGACAGACACGAAGATAGACAGAGAAGACACATACAGAGACAGAGAGAGAGACAGAGAGACAGAGAGAGAGAGAGAGAGAGACACATACAGAGACAGAGAGAGAGACAGAGAGACAGAGAGAGAGAGAGAGAGAGACACATACAGAGACAGAGAGAGAGAGACAGACACGAAGAGAGACAGAGAGAGAGAGACAGAGAAAGACAGAGAGAGACAAATAGAGAGAGAGACAGAGAGAAACAGAGAGAGAGAGAGACAGACACGAAGAGAGACAGAGAGACAGAGAGAGACAGAGAGAGAGAGAAACAGAGAGAGAGAGACAGACAAACAGACAGACCAACAGAGAGAGAGAGAGAGAGAGAGAGACAGAGAGAGAGAGAGAGAGAGAGAGAGACAGACAGAGACAGAGAGACAGAGACAGAGACAGAGAGAGAGAGAGACAGACACAAAGAGACAGAGAGAGACAGAGAGAGAGAGAGACAGACACGAAGATAGACAGAGAGACACATACAGAGACAGAGAGAGAGACAGAGAGACAGAGAGAGAGAGAGAGAGAGAGACACATACAGAGACAGAGAGAGAGAGACAGACACGAAGAGAGACAGAGAGAGAGAGACAGAGAAAGACAGAGAGAGACAGACAAATAGAGAGAGAGACAGAGAGAAACAGAGAGAGAGAGAGACAGACACGAAGAGAGACAGAGAGACAGAGAGAGAGAGAAACAGAGAGAGAGAGACAGACAAACAGAGACAGACCAACAGAGAGAGAGAGAGAGAGAGAGAGACAGAGAGAGACAGAGACAGAGACAGAGAGAGCGAGAGAGAGACAGACAGAGACAGAGAGACAGAGACAGAGAGAGAGAGACAGGGATAATGCTGTTGTCGTTTCTAATCTTGAGTCACATTTTTCTCCTGTTAACGTTTCACTGTTGACACTTTTACTTACGTCAACATTCTGATAAAATCTACAAAAAGGTCAACTTGAATTAAAGCCGTCGTCACTTTTGTTTAATAAATAATAAATGTGGTTTGTCCAACGGAAAGTCAAAGGTCAAAGTTTATGGCCAAACACAACATCTTCAGCTGATTAGAAAAACTTAACTATTGAAAACTTAAAGTAATAGAACCCTGAGAGTCTGTTATTTGTATTTCATTATTATTATTAAAAAGATCGGGTTAAATGAAGAGGAGTTTAGTGTCTTTGTCCTGAACCGTTTTTCTTTTGATTTCCACATATTTGGAACTAACTCTGCTCGTTCTAATCCGCTCTGAATCTGCACAAGAACGAGAAACAGAGAGCACAGTGAGACCGCAATGAGACCACGGAGAGACCAGAGAGAGAGACCAGAGAGAGACCAGAGAGAGACCAGAGGGAGACCAGAGAGAGACCAGAGAGAGACCAGAGAGAGACCAGAGAGAGACCAGAGAGAGAGACCAGAGAGAGACCAGAGAGAGACCAGAGAGAGACCAGAGAGAGACCAGAGAGAGACCAGAGAGAGACCAAAGAGAGAGACCAGAGAGAGACCAGAGAGAGACCAGAGAGAGACCAGAGAGAGACCAAAGAGAGAGACCAGAGAGAGACCAGAGAGAGAGACCAGAGAGAGACCAGAGAGAGACCAGAGAGAGACCACAGAGAGAGACCACAGAGAGACCACAGAGAGCACAGAGAGAGACCAAAGAGAGAGACCAGAGAGAGACCAGAGAGAGAGACCAGAGAGAGACCAGAGAGAGACCACAGAGAGAGACCACAGAGAGACCACAGAGAGCACAGAGAGAGACCACAGAGAGACCAGAGAGAGACCCCGGTGATTATTATCATTTCCCTTTTTATACTAGTTGTGTGTAATGTTAAACAGTATTTATGTGACTTTTTCTGAGAGGGTTTAAAACACAAAATTACCAACACAGATGAAGAAAAAATGAAGAAAAATACCTAAATTAGGGTAAAAAAAGCGCCTAAGTGACTCGGGGCTGGTCTAGGTAGAAAATCTTGTCAAAATTCAGCTCAAATGTGTTATTTTGGGTGTGTTTGAATCAGTGTGGCAGGTAAATATGACCTGAAGCTAAGTTTTAAATCACTAATCTCTCCTGCAACGGCTCCAATGTCCTCATTATTGTAAAAGCCGTTTTTTCTGTTCGAGTAACAACCTTTACATTTGGGTCAAAATCACCAACTCTTCACCCGTTTTTGTGTCTGTTTTTCAGAGTTACTTTGGTGCCTAGTCGACTGAACAAAGCCCTCGGACAGAGACTGACCGTGGAACAAACTGGTTGGCGGGCCGCTTGGGTCTGTACTCGGGATGGACCATGAAGAGCATGTGGGGAAACCCGGTGCCGAAGTACGCCCCGTCTGTGTGGTGGTGCCGGGACGACTTGGGGGTGTAGACGTCCATGCACTTGGGGCAGTAGAGCTTCACCATGGCCTCTCCGGGGATGTCCGACAACCCTGCAGCAGGAGAGGAGGAGAGGAGGAGATCAGAGGGAGATCAGGAGGAGATCAGAGGGGATCAGGAGGAGATCAGGAGGAGATCAGGAGGAGATCAGAGGGAGAGCAGGAGGAGATCAGAGGGAGAGCAGGAGGAGAGCAGAGGGAGAGCAGGAGGAGATCAGAGGGAGAGCAGAGGGAGAGCAGGAGGAGATCAGGAGGAGATCAGGAGGAGATCAGAGGGAGATCAGGAGGAGATCAGGAGGAGATCAGAGGGAGAGCAGGAGGAGATCAGGAGGAGATCAGGAGGAGATCAGAGGGAGATCAGGAGGAGATCAGGAGGAGATCAGAGGGATTCAGGGGAGATCAGGAGGAGATCAGAGGGAGATCAGGAGGAGATCAGAGGGATTCAGGGGAGATCAGAGGGAGATCAGGAGGAGATCAGAGGGAGATCAGGAGGAGATCAGAGGGATTCAGGGGAGATCAGAGGGAGATCAGGAGGAGATCAGAGGGATTCAGGGGAGATCAGAGGGAGATCAGGAGGAGATCAGAGGGATTCAGGGGAGATCAGGGGGAGATCAGAGGGAGATCAGGAGGAGACCAGGAGGAGACCAGGAGGAGATCAGGAGGAGATCAGGAGGAGATCAGGAGGAGATCAGAGGGAGATCAGAGGGAGATCAGAGGGAGATCAGGAGGAGATCAGGAGGAGATCAGGAGGAGATCAGAGGGAGATCAGGAGGAGATCAGAGGGAGATCAGGAGGAGATCAGAGGGAGATCAGGAGGACATCAGGAGGAGATCAGAGGGAGATCAGGAGGAGATCAGGAGGAGATCAGGAGGAGATCAGGAGGAGATCAGAGGGAGAGCAGGAGGAGATCAGGAGGAGATCAGAGGGAGATCAGGAGGAGATCAGGAGGAGATCAGGAGGAGATCAGAGGGATTCAGGGGAGATCAGGAGGAGATCAGAGGGAGATCAGGAGGAGATCAGAGGGATTCAGGGGAGATCAGAGGGAGATCAGGAGGAGATCAGAGGGAGATCAGGAGGAGATCAGAGGATTCAGGGGAGATCAGAGGGAGATCAGAGGGAGATCAGGAGGAGACCAGGAGGAGACCAGGAGGAGATCAGGAGGAGATCAGGAGGAGATCAGAGGGATTCAGGGGAGATCAGAGGGAGATCAGGAGGAGATCAGAGGGATTCAGGGGAGATCAGGGGGAGATCAGAGGGAGATCAGGAGGAGACCAGGAGGAGACCAGGAGGAGATCAGGAGGAGATCAGGAGGAGATCAGGAGGAGATCAGAGGGAGATCAGAGGGAGATCAGAGGGAGATCAGGAGGAGATCAGGAGGAGATCAGAGGGAGATCAGGAGGAGATCAGGAGGAGATCAGAGGGAGATCAGGAGGAGATCAGAGGGAGATCAGGAGGACATCAGGAGGAGATCAGAGGGAGATCAGGAGGAGATCAGGAGGAGATCAGGAGGAGATCAGAGGGAGATCAGGAGGAGATCAGGAGGAGATCAGGAGGAGATCAGGAGGAGATCAGGAGGAGATCAGGAGGAGATCAGAGGGATTCAGAGGGAGATCAGGAGGAGATCAGGAGGAGATCAGAGGGAGATCAGGAGGAGATCAGAGGGATTCAGGGGAGATCAGGAGGAGATCAGAGGGGGATCAGGAGGAGATCAGAAGGGATTCAGGAGGAGATCAGGAGGAGATCAGGAGGAGATCAGGAGGAGATCAGGAGGAGATCAGAGGGAGATCAGGAGGAGATCAGGAGGAGATCAGGAGGAGATCAGAGGGAGATCAGGAGGAGATCAGGAGGAGATCAGAGGGAGATCAGGAGGAGATCAGAGGGAGATCAGAGGGAGATCAGGAGGAGATCAGGAAGAGAGCAGGAGGAGAGCAGGAGGAGATCAGGAGGAGATCAGGAGGAGATCAGGAGGAGACCAGGAGGAGATCAGGAGGAGATCAGAGGGATTCAGGGGAGATCAGGAGGAGATCAGAGGGAGATCAGGAGGAGATCAGAGGGAGATCAGGAGGAGATCAGAGGGAGATCAGGAGGAGATCAGGAGGAGATCAGGATGAGATCAGGAGGAGATCAGGAGGAGATCAGGAGGAGATCAGGAGGAGATCAGGAGGAGATCAGAGGGATTCAGGGGAGATCAGGAGGAGATCAGAGGGAGATCAGGAGGAGATCAGGAGGAGATCAGAGGGAGATCAGGAGGAGATCAGGAGGAGATCAGGAGGAGACCAGGAGGAGATCAGAGGGAGATCAGGAGGAGATCAGGAGGAGATCAGAGGGAGATCAGGAGGAGATCAGGAGGAGATCAGGAGGAGATCAGAGGGAGATCAGGAGGAGATCAGGAGGAGATCAGAGGGAGATCAGGAGGAGATCAGGAGGAGACCAGGAGGAGATCAGAGGGAGATCAGGAGGAGATCAGGAGGAGATCAGGAGGAGATCAGGAGGAGATCAGGAGGAGATCAGAGGGAGATCAGGAGGAGATCAGGAGGAGATCAGATATTTGTCACGACATCAGTATTTTAGAAAAACAAACTTTATTGGAAGCATCAGGAACTAAAGTGAAAATTTGCATTAAACAGAAACTATGAAAACCCTTATTTACATAAAATTCAAAAGATAAGAAAAGGAAGTCGAGTGTGTGTGTGTCTGTGTGTGCGTGTCTGTCTCTGTGTGTGTGTCTGTGTGGTGCGCAGGTCCGTTTTTTGTGTGTCTGTGCATGTGTGTGTGCATGTGTATCTGTCAATGCGTGTTTGTCGGCGCGCACGTGTGTGTGTCTGTGCGTGCGTGTCTGTGAAAGTGTGTGATTGGCATAAAACAGCTGAAAAGACATTTTCAGCCAAAACAGAGACGTGGAGAGTTCTTCTACGTCACAGAGAGACAGTGTCAGACGTCAGAGCGACTGCTCTGAAAATGGAGCGTGTTAAATAACTCTGGCAGAGGCTGAAGTAATCGTACATTTCAGAGGTGTAAACAAAGCCATTATGGCAATAAACAAAATAAACCAGGAGCAAAATAGGTCCAAATCGTTTATCCATTTTCCTCATGAGGACTCCAAAAATGTTAAAAGCCAAGGTTTTTATATTTTTCTTTCAATAGGTGCACGAGGCCAAAGGGGGACCCCAGTTTTTTGGTTGTTTTTTTTGCTGTATTTTTGTAAATGCAGCATTATGTGACTTTTGACTGCACTTGTTTTAGTCAGTTCTCATTTTAGCAACAGTCAGTAATGATAAGATTAAGAGATTTTCAGACGTCCCACAGTGGGGACATTTCAGTGTTGCATTACAACACAAGACAGGTGAATAGTAAGTGTAGCACAACTCTATACTTTTAAATTTAAAATAATTTGGTAATTCGGTAAAGGTACACGGTAAAGTATTGTGTACTCTAGTGTAAATAAATGTATACTTGTATTTACACATCTGTAAATAAATCTAGAACACTCTCTAGGTCAAGAATATGGAAATGGCAAGTCTTTAACACTGTGATGATGCTACAGTACACGTAATAAAACTAAGAATATTATAAGTATGTTTGCTACATATGAGCACATACCACTCGTTACATTCATTTTGTGTATTTGACATACACATACAGTAGCACACACATATGTATTTACATACACATGTTTACAGTAAAAGTAAGGGTAACATGGTCGATAAATGAGGATTGTGTTTTATTTATTTTAAAACTTTAACTTGTTAATATATTTTTTTTTAAATTAAAGTGTACAGTATAGCTTTGAGTATTAGGATATTATTCAGAGTTTCCCAAAGCTCTGTAAGGCTGTGACTCTTGAGGGTGATAAGAGCAGAGGTCTGACAGACAAAACAACACGAAGGCCAAACGTAATAAAGTGTTGAATCTTCTCTTTTTGTGGATACACATTTTTATTTAACATTATGAAGGTATTTAGAATAGTTTAATAGATTTAACAAAGTTTGTTTAGTTAACAATTCAGGTGGTTTTTCCAACACGTTAGAAGACATATGGTAATTTTCCAGAGGGAGTATGTTTAAAAAAAATAGGAATAATGCCTTGGGGTTCAAATTAACCTTGCAATTAAGACTGCCAGTTAAAACTTAATTATAATTGAGAATCATTTCAGAAGACACTAAAATGTCTGGCGGACCACAATTGGCCCACAGGCCTGGTGTTTGGACACCTGCACTGCACCATAAGAGGACAGGCCCTAAGTTGATCGAATCTCCTTTTCAATTTAAATATTTAGGGTTTTTTAAAAAAAAAAGGTCTCCATGAGTTTTCATCTTGATAAACAATCATCAAAACACTTAAGTTTATTTGATCTTTAGGATATAGGTTGTTGTTTTACCATAAGAGAATAATTAGTTAGTGAGGCCTGACTTGTGTGAGAGACTGCACATGTAGGAGAGCAGACAGCAGCAGAATGCACTTATCTGCTCTCCAAGGCCGGAGAGGAGTGTTTTGGAAACTCAAACTGATAACCCATGAGTAAAGTTATATGGAGACCATTATTATTATTATTATATAGACTGAGGCTAAGCCCTGGCAGCGCAGACCCAGAGGACAGGCTAGGGAGGGGACAAATAACCCTTTTGCCAAAACATTGTTTCAGAAACGTGACCAACCTCTCCATGAGGAGGGATCACATCTCCAAGAGGGAGACACAGAGCGCCATCACGCCTTGGCCACGAGGGTCGAGCCAGAGGAGGGGTCTGAGTCCGGCGAATGCCAGGAGGAGCCCTAACCAAAAGTGCCGGGGGCACCCCACCGCGAGGGTCGACGCCCCATCATGGGTCCAGCCCACCGCAGGTGGACCCCAGCTGCCCAGAGCCAAAGGGGACCAACGAGACGGGTCTGAGGACCTTCTCCAACGCAAGGATGCAGCAAAGAAGTGGGGGCGGCAGTAACCGACTTCCAACGCAGAAGTGGAGCCGAAGCAGGAAGGCTTGCTCCCCAACGGCCGGAGGGACCTTGAGGGTCCCCACGACAAAACCTGGTCTGCCTTCTGACCAGGTGTTACACAG